TCTCCTCCTCGATCTGTTCTCAAAGCTTTTAATGGAAAACCATTGTACTTTTCTGTATCAACTTTAAACTGAGCAAAAATTGAAAATGTTGCTGATTTTTTAGCCAAGAAATATACCCACATCAGTCTGCTGCAATCATCAACAATTAATAGAAAATACCTTTTTTTATTAAAGGTTTTTGTTTGAGTTGGTCCACAAATATCAGCATGAACCAGTTCTAATGGAGCTCTAATTCTCCAAGATGATTCTGAAAATGGTAATCTGTGTAATTTTCCATAAATACAACCTTCACATTTATTTTTTTCTTCATTTATTAGTGGTAGCTCAATTACCATACCTTTCTGATTCATCAATTTCAAACTTTGAAAATTTAAATGTGCAAATATTAAATGCCACAAGTAAGATTTATCAATATTTTCAGAACTCAATGCATAATTTTCACATACTGGGATCACCATAGGAAAAACCTTATTTGGGGTCATTTTTACCTTGGCTATAATCTGTTTATTTTTCTTATAAAAAATCACACTTTCATCTCTATTGAAATTCACTCAATATCATTTTTTCATCAATTGACCAACAATTGAATGATTTTGAGTCAAGCCAGGAACATAAAAAGCACCATAAATTAATTTAGGATTACTTCCGTTTGGTTTTAGTGTAATTACTCATTTTCCTTCAACATCTTGGAGCTTCCCATCACCGAGCTGGACTTGAGAACTTACTTTTTCATCCATCTCATCAAAACTGCTTCGATTTTCTGTTATATGATTGCTACAACCACTATCCAGATACCAAATATCATGTAAATTATGTTGAACATTCATGCATGAATAAAACATATGGCATGTATTATTATTTTTCTCAGAAAAATTTGCTTCACTTTTCAGTATTTCATTTTTCTGTTGAAACCAACAATCTCTTTGAGAATGATTGGGGTTTCTATATTTTTTACATTTATATCGGCAATCCTTGGATTCATGCCCTGATGCAGTAAGATTCATATTTATCTTTTCCATATGGATTTTTGTGGCTATTGAAATTAATTCTTCCTCTCCCTTGGCTTCTGGAAAAATTTTGTCTTCACGAATTTTTTGATAAGTTTGAAATACCCCCCTTTCTTTATTTTCTTCAATACTTTTCTTTGCTAAAATTGTCATTTTTTACTAAAAAGCTTGTTCTAAATTATGGCTTGAAAATTTATTCATTCTTTGCTCATGTGCTTCAAGAGACCTACTTAATTCTGATAATGAAAATTTAGATAAATCTTTTGACTCTTCTATGGCAGCTACAACATGGTCAAACTTTTCAAGTAAGCTTCTCAAGATTTTATGGTCTATTTTTTTATCAGGAATATCATCTCCATAACATCTAATATGATTTATTATTCCAGCAACTCTAGTAAAAAAGTTCTGAACTGTTTCATTATATTTCATCATCAAATTATCAAATTCTCTCCATAAATTTTGGAGTTTGATAGAAATCACTTTTTTGGTTTCCTGAAATTCATTTTTCAAAATATCCCAAGCTTCCTTTGATTTTGAAGCAATTTTTATTCTAGAAAAGATATATTTACTTACAGCTTGCTAAATGAAGAGAAGGGTTTTCGTATCTCTCTTTTTATTTTCCTTCATTTCATTTTGCTTTGTCTATAACCACGAATCAAGTGTTGCAGCATCTTCTGGTACCGTATAACCTTCTTCAATAATATCCCCCAAATCTTGTGAGATAAAGAGAGTCTCCATTTGGAGACTCCATAAGTCGTAATCTTCTCCATCTAAGATGGGTATTAAATTTTGGGTATAATTCATACCCGAGGTTGATGCCATTGTTAAAGTGGTCTTTTAGGAAGCACGAATCTAGGCTCTGATACCAAATATTGGGAATTTACGGAAACGTCGATATAATAATTTGAAAATAGCAAATGTTGGGAATTTGTGGAAGCGTCGATATAATAATTTGAAAATAGCAAAGAAAAATAGGGATGAAGAGGTGGCAGTATCAACTCAATGATATTTCATTATTTCGTTGAATTTATTTTGATAACAAACAATTGTTATGGTCTTTAGGGACCATAACTCTTTTTTCTAACTAAACTCCCATTTTTTTTCTACGCTCTCACACACGAAACAGGAAACCTATGCCCTATTTATAAACCTTCAAGGGCGGTTCGTTTTTTATCGTCGTATTACAAAGTTGAGGTGGTCCTCCACAAAGTACACGCAGTTTTTTATGCGTGCTCTCTATTGATTTGTCGAATGATGCAAAAAGAAAGATGCTCGACGTATATTATGAAAGAGGGTTTCCACCGTGTTTTATTTAAGTGGTTTTAGAGAGAGAGAGAGTAAGGAAGAGGAAGTGAGAAGGAGAGAGAGTAAGGATGAGGCAGTTAGAGGGAGAGAGAGAAAGCCGGTTAAGAGAAAGAGTGAAGAGAAGACGGTGAAGAGAGAGTGACAGATTATAATTTTAACAGTTATAGTACTGAGGGTTTTTTGGTGAGGCTGTGCATGTGTTTCTCATGGGATATTTTAGCTATGTAAATGAGTTGCGTCATCCTGAAAACTGTCAGATTTAGAATGCAGTAAGAGGCAGCGCAGTTGGAAAATAGGAAAAACTATGTATGTATGCAAAAATATTTCTTCTTTTAGGGAATGCTCCAATTTTATGCGGAGTTTTTTTTTTTTTTCTTTTATTTCTAGTATTTCTCTGCTGTTTTAATTTTTTATTTTATTGGTTTTCTTGAACTATATGGCTATTTTTAAGCTTAGAGGTCAATTAGGGATCAGATATTTGAAACATTAAGTTCCCTTAAACTTGTAGTGTTCAATATTTTATGCTATATAATTGGGCTGCTTGGCTCTTTCTCCATTCTTCTTTTTCTGTTCTCTATTTTTATCTTTGTAATATCAATGCTTTTTATGCTCTATTTCATTCTTCCTGCTCGTCAAAGATAAAATAAATGACCGCGTATCAATCCAACATCTGAAACATATCCAACTGGTTACTTTAAAAATAGATTGAGATCACAAATATTGGACTGTGTTATAAATGAAAAAAGCACAAAAAAACAAAACAGGGTGGCCTTTTGGGTGATCCAAACATTGGACTGACCCCTGAATTGACCCTTATGCTTTGGGACAACACTACAATTTAAGAAAATAAAAACCACATACAATATTTGTAAGATCTAACCAAAAAAATAGAAAAAGATAAAATCAAATCAACAAATTAGGGCCTCCACACACACACACAGACACACACATACACACACACACACACACACACATATATATATATATATATATATATATATATATATAGTGGT